TACACTCTTATCTAAACAAAATAAATACAATAATCTTTATCAAAATATGATAGCATACATGAATAACCTTAACATTCTTGCAGAAAACCACTCCTCTCTTCAAAACCAATTAAATATAGCCAATGAATTCTTTAAACTTTTTGACATAAAAGCAAACTCCAACAAATTCAAGCTAATTATCATTAACTCCAAAAATAAAAAAAATTCTATCCTTCTTAATAACAATCTTATTCCACTACAATTCAAACATAGCTCAATCAGAATTTTAGGTATATAACTTTCTGAGTCAAGTATAGTTACCAAAACCAGAAAAAAATACTAAATGACACCACATTTATCTCATACTTTCTTAAAACCAAATTTTACACCAGCCCAATAGTCACATACAGGACATTTATAACAAAGTTTTACTTCCACAAATTGAATTCAAACTTCAATTTTCTTTTCTAACTTCCAATCAATTCATCTTTCTACAAAGAAAAATCAATTCTACTATCAAACACAAATTTCAAATAGAAAAAACTTTTTCCCAAAACTGGTTCTACAACCTTTACATTTTTAATATCAAACTTATTTCTGATTTGCAAAATGAAGTTTCCATTTTCAACTTATACTACTCTTTAACCAATCCCTCTACCTCCAAACCCAAACTTCAAGAAATTCACTCTCTTTAATTATTAAATGCTTTTTTCTTTTGTTCTTTTAAAAATCTTATCAAAACTTCTATAACAAATACTACATTTTATACTATTCAACTTGCACAAAAATACAAAATTCAATTCTGCAATATCTCATCTTGCAATTATAAACTTCTAAATAAAACAACCCACTTTACGATCTAATTTGGAACTCAAATTGGTTCTATACTGTAAAACTTCTTTCCAAATATCAAATCTTTTATCTTGAACAACTTCTAATTTTCCAAAGTAATCAACTAACTAAATGGCATCATATAGCCAGCTAAATAGAAAAAAATCTCCAGGGAAAAACTCCACAATGGTATAAAAAACTCAAACACCTCACCTCAAAAAACACTGGGTCAATAACGATTACAAACAAACAACAAATAAATAAAAAAAAGAAACTGGAAAGCAATTGAAGTTTCTGATACTATTATAATTGAAAAAAAAAACTCTCTCAAAAAATCAAATTATCATCAATCATTACTTATATTTATTAGCTAGTGACCTTGACAAATCTCTAATCTTAACCAAATGTACTGATTGTATTTTTAATCAAACCTCTAATATATATTCCTGTCAACTTCAAATAAACAAACTAAACTCCACTCCTTTCCACATCTCTACTCAACTCAAGTCACCTAAAATATACTCTACTTTCAGAGATATAACAAACTCTACAAAATACAAAACTTCTTCTTCTTTCTATAAAATTTCTACTATTTCTATTTCTTCCACACCTCAACAATTCCTAATAGAAAAAATTTTTAAACCACAATTCCATCAAAACCTAATTTCTATCTGCTCTGCAAAATTAATCGAAAAAGCAATTTACTTATCAATGAAAACCAATCAAACCAAAACTATTGTTAAATAGACAGACATTTCTGCATCACTAATGTACAAACATAAATTTCCTTACAACTCAACTCCATTCCTTCTGCTTTCTATCCAAACAATTTTTATTATTAAACCATCATCAACTATAACTTTTTTCTTAAAAAACTACAAAATAAGCAAAACCATATTTTTTCCAATTCAAAAAATTATCGAACAAATTGCAAAATACTATACAAATATATAATTGATAACTTAAAACAAAGTATTTAATTCTTGTAAACAAACTGCTCTTTTTATAAACTCCCACGCAATGCACCCTTATCTCACAATTCAATAACCACTTTAATAAATCTACACTTCAATTATTAACCTTTATTATATACACTAACTAATCATTTTGACTCATCACTCCCTCCTATTCAGAAACACATCAAAAAAATCAATCACTTTTTTAAAATCTTTCATATTTTAAACTTAAAAAGATTCCAAATAACCTTTTAATTCAACTTTTAAAATCTCTCTTACATTCTCAAATTTATTAAATCAATACCAATATCCACCAAAACCTCAGAATCATTGTTTATAACTTTTGTCTTAAAATTATCTCCTATAACCTTCCTACTAAATCTCACCTCCACACTACTAAACCTAATCTTTATCTAAATAATCTTTGCCCATGCTGCAACAGCTCAGAAGAAACCATCAATCATATTTGAAACTGTCCAATTAACAATAATATATTAAAAACAATTATTCTCTCAACATAACAAATTATCAATAATCCCACTGCACCACAGCAAACATTTCTCCCCTTACTGGTATCAAATGGAACAATAACTTCCATAGCAATATATCAAAACAAGTGATCAAAAACCCAACTAAATCCAAGCCTCTCAACAACTTCTTCACTTCAATATCAACCACTATAGATTTACCTACATTAGTGGTTGATTTTTATATCCAAAGTGGATTTAATTTCACTAAGTGCATTTCCAAATTAATTTCAGACTATCTTAATTTTCTTCCATCTAATGCTAAATAGGTAATCATGGTTGCTTGGAGCCTCTTAACAAGATATATTGTTTTAAAATTTATTTTCAATATTAGTCTAATAGTTACTATAGACAAGCTGACATTTAACTCATTATACTATTACACATGAGAGATGTTGTTTCTTTCACAATGTATATCTATCACTATACAAATTAAATAAAAAAATGATGTTTACACAAATTACTACTGGTTCAATCTTCTTCTTTGATCTAATTCCAAACTAAAAACCTATTCCAATCTTCAAACACATACAAATCTCTAACAAACTTTTCAAACTAATATACAACAATATATGGAAATCCAGAAATAACGACATGATCTCTTAAGAAAAAATTTTTGATATTATGATACAACAAAAAAAGAATAAAAACAAAAACAATCAAATTCAACTTAACAAAAAAGACTTAACTATTAATACAACATTAGTAAACTATATCAACAACAACTATATTCCTCACTCCAACATTCTACTTCCAAATATTTTTTTCAACTGTATATCATTAACCGAAAACTTATTTTCATCAGATCTGAATGAAAAACTAAATTATTAAGAAGGCACTGACCTCCTAATTTAGTAAATAGTTACTTCTAAAATTTTTTCAATTATGGTTTTTATAGAATATATTTACTTATTAGCAGGTCAATGTTTATAGCAACATATTTCAATATATCACTATCATTGTAAATTTTATACTCAGTTACCTTTGTAAAAATTAAATCAATAATTAATAAAGATCACAATTTGAGAAGTGCCTCGCAAAAAAAAAAAACCAATTACATTCTGTTGACGTGGATTTGGAAAGTTTGTCACTTGTGACAGGTCAAACTTGCATAACGTCAGGATAAATTATTCTTCTTTTCTCTATATGAGGCATGGATTTGACTTAGCCGACCTTGAAACTATAATTAACCCTCTTCTTTCTCTTGTCATCTTTCCTGAATAGTTCAAGTTACTATTCTTTTTAATGACTTCCTGAACAATCTCCTTGTGATGATGTTACTCTAGAAAAGTAAGTTAATTAATTATTTCTTATTTTTGGCATGTCTATTACCATCATATATAACAATTTTTAATTAATACTCTAGTATTGCACAACTATTTCACGTTTTCTTTCTCAATAGGAAAGGATGTTAATCAAAATTGTTATTTATAAGATTGAGATTAAGATTTTCATTATAATTGCTTCTCTTGTTTTGTACTTTCTTACTTCTATTTATTTATTTATTTTTTTTTTTGAGTAGGTAAATACCATTTCTTTATTTATTCATATATTACAAGATATACATTTGGAAGGAAACAACATCTCTTACATGTGATTAGCAGAGAGTTTAATGCTAGCCTGCCTACAGTAATTATTTAACTTCTACTAAAAAAGACATTTTAAAACTAGTATACTAATTAAATGATGCCAAGCAGCTATGTATGCCTACTCAGAGTTATTTTGAAAAATAAACTTGTGGTGGTTTGAAATGAGATTAAAAATACATAATGAAAAATTAAAGTTGTTTTGGATAAATGTTTCTGCAACTAATGTAGGGAGATCAATTGTTGTAACACTGTTTTGAGGATTTGAGCTATTGTCAATATGAGAGATGAAGTTGGCTCTTGAAGTGCTTGCTTTAGGGTTGGGGTTATTGTTGTTGGCTTTGTTGTTTTTTGTATTGTTTTTTTTAAGTGTTTCGTTCCATTTGATGCCCATGAAAGGTGAAATATTTGCTGTGCTACAACAGGGTTTCCACGTGAGGTTGTAAAACATAGTAAGAGCTTTGATAGATGCTTTGATCCAGTTGTGAATGTCAGCTGTAGAAAATATATTTGTGGTGATTCCACATACTAATTCTATTATTTGTCGTGTGTTGGAGATTGGGTGATTACTGTTGTCTGGATGAAAGACTGCATTGATTGAATTGATGAATTTATAATAATTTGTTATAATTATTATAATTATAATATATATATATATATTTAATATATATTTTATATAACTGTTATTGTCAATTTTCAAATTCAATTAGATAAATAAAGAATTTTAAAAGAATAAAGAATTTTGAAATATAATAAAAAAAAACTTGAATTTAATAAAATTTAATTTGAAAAATTTTTTTTATTATATTTTAATCTTTATCTTTAAATTTGCTTATTTTATAAAAATAAATTAAAAATACTATTTTCTTTTTAAAATATTTTTTTATTATAAGAACTTTGAATTTTTAAATTTTTAAATTAAGTTAATATTTTAATTAAAAAATAAAATAAATAAAATAATTTAAATAAAATTATTTATTTATTAATATAGTATTTTAAGAAAAATATAGAATTTTATATTAAACAGAAAACTGTTAAATTATCACCATCACATAGATCGATCTACATGCATAAATCATATAATTGATCATGTGCAAGAATTTTTTTGTAGTTTGCGAAAAATGGGTCGAAGAGCTAAAAGAAAACAAGGAGAGCCCGAGCCGCTTTTAATTAAACCAAAAGTGGATTCGCGGACGCCAAAATCTTCTGAAGAAAAAATTTCAAATGGCAAGAAAAGAAAGTTAGTTGATATAACGGCTGGCAATCGAGAAACGGAAAGGAATGCTTCAAAGAAAGTCAAGTCAGCTTCAAACGGAAAAATTCTCGAGAAGGAATCCATGCAAAAACAAAAAAAAACGGTTACTGAACCTTCGAACACATCTAATTCAAAAATAAGGAAGAAAGAGGTCAAGAACGTTTCTGGTAAGCGAACTACTTTAAGTTCATTACCGAAAACGATACGAAAATTCAAATATCAATCGACATTTCGTTGAAAAAGGCGTTTTGAATTATCGCATTTTTTCCTTTTTGTGTTGTTTCTTTTGTAATTAAATAAAACGCGTAACAAGGGAACAGATCAATCGACTTTTTCTGATCACCTCGTGTTTAATAAAAATACATCAAATGATACATTTTATTCATTCTATAACCTTGAAACGATAGATGATGAGAATTCATTGCTCTCGGACTCAGATTCATCTCTGCCAAAATTTAACGACGAAGAAGAAGATGGTGATGCTCTTCAACTTTTGGTAATTCCAAATCTTCAATTGAATAATATTTTAGTATTTGGTTATTTTTATATTTTTATTATTATTAATACTTTTACTGTTGCAATTAAGGATGATGATTCAGATGATGGTAATTCGGAGGTCAGTGAAGTGACATTTTTATAAATAGTGAATAAAATCAATAGAATAGTAGGATAGTGTGTTTTTTTGACATATTACGATGAGTTGGATATTGGTAGTTTACTTATTTAACAAAAATATGTAAATTTCTAAAGCTTGACATCGAAGAAAAATCGCGCATTTTGGATGAGGAAAAAAAGAAGGAAGCTGAATTAGCGGATGCGGAACTCCAAACAAATATTGAACGGATGGAAAAATTTAATTTACCAAATAACCAAGAAGAAGATGAGCAAAATTTGGCTCCGGATTTGCAAGTTATCAACCAGCGCATCCAAGATATCGTAGGTGTTCTTAATAATTTTAAGAAGCTCGGCGACGAAAATCGGTAAGAGTTATACCGTTTTTCCACCTTTCAATGTTCAATTTTAAAAAATCTTTTCCTGATAATGATCAGTGGACGCTCAGCCTATGTGGAGCAATTGATAAAAGATATGGCAGTTTATTACGGTTATTCCGAGTTTCTCTTAGAAAAACTTTTCCACTTGTTTTCAGTCTCTGAGGTTGGTTCGTCTAAACGCTCTTAGTTTTTATTTTTAACGCGAATTTCCGAAAGCTTGTGATTAAACATTTTATCATGTTATAAGGCTATTGAATTTTTTGAGGCCAGCGAAATTTCTAGACCAGTTACGATTCGTACCAATACGTTGCGCACGCGTCGTCGGGATCTAGCCCAAGTATCTGAGCTTAATAACCTAGAACATTTTATCACGCAACATGTAAATTAAACATGTATTTTATTTTATTAGGCCCTTATCAATAGGGGAGTAAATCTTGAGCCTATTGGAAAATGGACGAAAGTAGGGTTAACCATATTTGATTCTTCAATACCGATAGGTAAGTAGTTTCTTAGTAAATATTATATAGTACTTTTTTATTTATCATGTTATCATTAATGTGTCATTTTCAGGTGCTACTCCAGAGTACCTTGCTGGGCATTATATGTTACAATCTGCATCCTCATTTTTACCTATTATGGCTTTAGCTCCACGAGAGAATGAAAAAATTCTAGATATGGCATCTGCACCTGGTGGAAAGACCACCTATATAGCTGCACTAATGAAAAATACGGGAATCATATTTGCTAATGATGCTAGTAAAGAACGAACTAAAGGTCTCATATCGAATATACATAGATTAGGTGTTAAAAATGTAGTTGTAAGTAATTATGATGGTCGTTTATTTCCATCTGTTACCGGAGGTTTTGATCGAGTCTTGTTGGATGCCCCCTGTAGCGGCACTGGTATTATTTCCAAGGATCCTGCTGTCAAGATTAATAAGGTTGAATTTTCTTGGTCTTCTTTTTCGTGACGACATTGGAATGCGCTATTGACTTTATGAAACATTAAATTAGACCGAGAAAGATTTCATGGTGTTACCTCACCTACAGAAAGAACTTATTTTAGCAGCGATTGATTCTGTGGACGCTAGATCATCAACTGGGGGATATATTGTATATTCCACATGTTCTGTGACCGTAGATGAAAATGAAGAAGTAGTAAATTATGCTCTTAAGAAGCGTCCTAATGTAAAATTGGTGTCAACGGGATTGGACTTTGGGCAGGAAGGATTTACAAAGTATGATATTTTATGTATTCATTACATTACATATTTTGTAAAATACATCATTTATCTAATATCTTGTTAATTTGTGCAGATACCGAGGAAAGGTTTTTCATCCCTCGTTGAAATTGACGAAAAGATATTATCCACATGTGCACAACATGGACGGATTTTTTGTTTCAAAATTCAAAAAATTTTCAAACACTTTTGCACAGAACAACGATGATGATAAACAAAAAACCGAACTAAAAAAAGAAGAAAATAATTAAAATTTAAAAATTTAAGATAAATTATAGTAATAATTTATAGGTTTGACTTTAAAGTTTTTTATTTATAATAAAAAACAACAAATATTCAATTTTTTTAAAAAAAGATTATATTTAAATATTACTAGGTAAATGGAAATCATTGCAAGTTTAAAGCAAATATAAATTTGTAATTGGTTAATTAACAAATATAATAATATATTGTAAGTGAAAATAATAAATTTCTAATTTTATTATCTGTTTATATAATTTTTAGCAAGTTTTAAATAATTGATTAAATTTAAAAAAAAAATTTTTTTTAATATAACAATTAGACTGGAGTTGATTATATATTAAATCATAAATTATAGAATTATTACAAATATAAATCCATTTAATTTAGTTTAACTATTAATAGTCAAAGGTTTTTTAAATATAATTTTTTTTTTTTTTTTTTTTTTTTTTTTTTTTTTTTTTTTTTTTTTTTTTTTTTTTTTTTTTTCGTTTTTTTTTTTTTGATGTTTTTTTTTTTCTTTTTTTTTTCGATTTTTTTTTTTGATGTTTTTTTTTTTCGATTTGTTTTTTTTTTTTTCGATTTGCTTTTT